GTTTTATCAGGGCATATCGTTTCATACTTGATAACACACGTCAAACCTTTAGGCTAAATTTGAAATAACCCAGTTTTTCAGATAAATTATCAAATGTGTCATGTTGCTGTGTGTATAAACCTACATGATCTTCAGTTCAGATGGCAGGACCCATTATAACTCCATTTAGTGCCGGAAATAGGGTTATGTTATCTAAGGACATATAATAAAATCCAAATGGATCTCGGAACAATGCCTAATTTCTGAATGTGAGGAAATCTAGACTTGGCAGAACAATTTAGACCTCAATTAGATTCCATTAGATATATTCTCTTGGGTCTGTAGACAGACTTGGGTGATTTTGTAAACTCTGTTGAGATTTGCAAGACACACACATGTCGGTGTCTCTAAACAGAGTAATGATATTGAACTGATACAACTATGTCCACTGACAACCTGAAATGTCCATCCCAGGTATCATATAAAGTTATTGACCACAGCAACATGGCCATAGCGAATGGCGGAATTCGTGCAAGTTATCAACGACGAAAATGTTGTTCCGCAAACACGTCTAAATGTCAAGTTAACTAATATTTAGAAATTGTGTGTCGAATCGTAAAATTTAGTCTCTGAATTGATTTTTTTTCAATCAGCGAGTGAAATTAGTTTTACGCCGCTTTTAACAATATTCCAACAACATCACGGCGGTTCTTTCAAGCATTAATTGAATATTATACAAGAGCCTAGAAACTGAAGAAGTATAAACTTGCTAAAACATTATACACATGTTTTTACAGTTTTCGGACATTTCGGTCGATGTGAGAGACTTATAACTGATGACTATTAGTTATTGGTCTGTAAGTCTTGTGATTTGGTATATATAAATTCCATCATATAAGGTCTATGTTCCAACATTCACTATATTCATACTAGTTCTTCGTGTGTAAGCATCTTCCCATGATGTTCTATGTTGCTGCAACGGTTATTCCATGTTTGCAGTTGTATTTTGTTGCTTTATCACGAACATCATTCATTGGTGATTCATGGTTTCAGCGAGGCATATTCAGGTGTCTCTGGGGTGACACCGGTCAACTGTCCGAACATAAGCAGATTACCGGCTTCAGCTTACACGTACAGCCCCCGGAGGCCATCGCGTATTCATTTGATGGAAATAGACATCAATTAGTGACAATATAATGCTCGTCATTATCTAGGGCTGATTAACTAATTGGTGTGTGTTGGGACGGCTCATATTGATGTCACGCGTGGGAGATGGAAACAACGCTCGTTTGTCAGTATGACAACTATTACATAGGCTGTGTGTGTGAAAAAGCATCATTAGTGAGTGAGTGAGTGAGTGAGTGAGTGAGTGAGTTAAGCATTACGCCGCTTTTCGCAATATTCCAGCAATATCACGGCGGGGGACACCAGAAATGGGCTTCACATATTTTACCCATGTGGGGAATCGAACCCGGGCCTTCTGCGTGACGAGCGAACGCTTAACCACTAGGCTACCCCACCGCACCAAAAGCATCATTACATACAGTGTATGATGAAAGTATTGTTATAAACACAGTGAATGATGAAAGTACAATGTATTATTATAAACGCAGCGTATGATGAAAGCATTGTTGTATACACAGTGTATGGTAAGAGCAATATCATACACAGCGTAAGATAAAAGCATTACTATATTCACAGTGTATGATAAAAGGATTATCATATGTACAGTGTATGATAATAACAATATCATATATACAGTGTATGACAAAAGCATTACGATATTCAGAGTGATATAACCATATACACAGTGTATGATAAAAGCAGTACTATTTACACAGTGTATGATAAAAGCAGTACTATTTACACAGTGTATGATAAAAGCAGTACTATTTACACAGTGTATGATAAAAGCATTATTATATCCACAGTGTGTGATAACAACATCACTATACACACAGTGTATGATAAAAACATCACCATAAAATTATACACAGTGTATGACAACAGCAACATTACATTCAGAGTACATGACAAAAGCATTTTATGTAGTCTGCATAGTCTCTCGTACAGACCCTGAAGCAAATATATCCAAGAAAGCCCACGCAAGTCTAGAAAATGTGGCAAGTCTAGATTTCCTCAGCTTCTGAAAATGAAGAAAGTCTCAGGGCTCCTTTTCATTATATTATATTTTTCTTTACTATGAACATTTTTCAGTAAAATATGTTCATTTCAGAGACTAGTTGTTAGTCTACAGTCTGCACCGTGTGTGGTGATAGCAATCACATACACACTAAAAGATTAGTATGATAATATTCACAATACACAAAGACACATTCATATCTGTTATTATTACAACGAAACTTCATTATAAAACATATTTTCACACAAAAATTCATTACATCTAATCGAGATGTAAAATACTAACAGGTTTCCTGCCACGACTAATAGCGATATTGCCATGTGAAACTAATAAGCCTGGAGAAGGTTCATGGCTCATTCCCCATTATACACACAGGCAGGGATGTTCAGGCAGGGCTCATACTACGAACCGTTAACGTGGGCCATACCAACTGTCGTATTTATAAGGGTGTTTATGTGTTTATCGCCCAGCTCGCGCCACATCGACCCTTTCATCTCCACCACGTGTACACACATGCACATGCTGTATATTTTTATCAGCAACCTTTCGCTGGAATTCGTTCAGTCTGATTTCACCTTCTAAGGTTTCAAGACCAATATCATGGTCGTCGTGCTCCACTTCACTCCATGCTGATATCTCGGACATGAACCCTGTGGTTCGCTTGTTGGTAATTACACCCAAAACTACTGGTATATTCTTTTACACTTAGACTGCTGTTGGACTGTTCGCAAACGAATTGCCTCCAGTTGCCCATGCTCGTCGTAAGGTGGTCAGGCTCGCTGACTTGGTTGATGGATGTCATCGTAGCCCAGTGGAGTAGATCAATGCTCATGATGACAATCGCCGGATGGCTGGTCTAGATTAGATTAGTTACAGACTAGCTTGAATAATACTGAGTGTTAAATAAAAACACTGATTGAAGGCAAGGAATTATGTAGATATTAAAGTCGTCGAACTTTTATAGTGGTAGGTCTGACTCCCAGAAACTAGACTATAATTTGAAACTAAATCCCACTCAGATGCAGAATTATTTCTTTAAGTGGCATTTAGAAGCTGGTGTGATGAAGAGGAACACATTTTATGGATATAAATCTATTGCAATAAAGAAGTTGTATATCCATATAAAGTCTTCCTCTTCAAATGTAGAATTGTCTCAGCTCTTGAGGAAAAGGACAAATAAGCAATCTGGGTTCCATTAGAATGATAGTGTCTATTTTAGGATATGTATTTTTAATAAGACTTATTCCTGGGAGTAGGTTTGTATAGAAAGAATATAACATGTTTAGGAATTACAGATGCTGATGAAACCAGATGAATATAGCAAATAACCTATTTTAAAATGAAAGAACCTCTCCGAAAGGTGAAAGAGTATGTGGGGTTCAAGAATGAAAAATGGACTTGAAACCTGAAAGTGGGTTAACTCTGTTATTCTGTTATCAGCACCAAGATTGATACGGTGTAATTGTTACCCATTACGTAAACAAGTGAGCACTTAAACCTGTAAACAATCCCGTAAGTGAATTACACTGTTGTACCCACAGCTGTAGGGTAAATCACTCGCTGCCCTTCACCCTGAGTGTCTGTGACAGCTTCAGAGAGGCACAACATGCTCTCAGGTCTGTGCACCCAGGGGCAAGGGTTCACTCCCAACACGCTGATAAAAAACATGCTGTGTGTTAGGCGTCGCTACCTGCCTACAGCACGCCATGCTTAGATACGTGCCGAAGCAATCATACATTCACCCTCAATATGTAAGGATTATGGGGAACCGAATTTACATGAAAGGTTCTTTCAAAGCACATCCTGAACAAGAAAAGCAAGATTTGAGGATGTCGACTTCTTTATTGTGAATAACACGACGTTTCGGAGTGTATGGCTGCTTCTTCATCAGGGGAATACTCCCTACCATTTACCTGATGAAGGAGCAACCATACACTCCGAAACGTCGTGTTATTCACAATAAAGAAGTTGACGTCCTTCAATCTTGCTTTTCTTGAGCATTCCACTTCTAAATGCCCCTCAAAGATTTGATCCGACACATCCTGAACTTTATCTAACAATATATTGATTGATTTCTAAGGTGATCATAATTGTTTGGTGTGGTTTTGACCATGATTCATTCAAATGGACTTGAAAACACGATTAGGCGTGTCATATAATAGACAGCATTGTAAAGATGTTTAAAAGATTGTCCTTTTTTATTTTGTTGTGTCGTGACGTTATTGTTGTAATGAATATGATTGTCAAAATATATACAAATACATCATTCTTTCTCGTTGATTGGTTGTGTTGAATGTTATGAAAGATGACGTTCATGGATCCAGAAACTGTATTTCCTTCTTTCAGACAGAACAAATGGCATTTTTGAAACGCTAAAAGCATCGTACATCACCCCGTCGACTCATGCTTAGTGAATATATATAATTTTGATGGAAACAAACAGTTCCACTTAACTTAAATAAGTGCGATGAGAGATTCAGAGCCTGAGGAAATCTAGACGGTTCACGGACTGTGGGACAGATTAATGGCCACCGTGCCTCTCCCAGAATATTATAATGTCAGTCGTTAAGGGAATATGATATAAGACCGCCTCCATGGTTAAGTAAAGGAAGCGTCTGACTGGAGAGCGGAGGGTCTGTGATTTGATCCCCACACGACATGGTACCAAATGACGTTACGAGACGATAAGTTTTGTTACCCTGCCTATCCCTCGGTATTTAGCGAATGGAACTACGACTGGTTTCCTCTGAGTAAATATATTGTGTCTGAGTGGTTATCCATGTTGAAACCGTGTGAAGATGCTTTCCTGCAACTCTTATGCATTCCAATGATTCTCTTTTGAAAAATAGTTATTCATACCATCATAATTATTTCACAGGTATCATCTTCAAACACGACATCCAAACCGCCAGCGTCACAGCTACACACATCCTCGACAACACAGTCCGGCGGTCAGTCCCACACTGTCCACGTCCAGAACCAGCCCCAGTCCATCGGCAATGTCACCACATACGTCCCACAGAAGGTCAACCAGCCTCTCAAGTCCAAGAAAGACTCCGAGCCCCCTGAGCAGGAAGATGAAGACTTCAGAAGGAGCGACTTCAACCCAGCATCTCAGACGGTGCTGGACAAGGCCTACACTGACCACAAACACTTCTATAGACTCAATACTACCATTCTGGACGAGGGAAGCAACCTGAAACAGGAGGTGATAGATCTCTATAGGAAGGCCGGGGAAACACTGTCATACGAACAACTGATTCAGGGTAAGAAGGATTTCAGGCAAACATCGTTGTGTCGAACTTACTGTTATCTCGAGGTAAAAGTTTGGTCCCTTTATTCTTTCTTTTTTCAATTATTTTGTCAAACTTCGTTTAACTCGAAGTATTTATGTAGGTCCCTTTAACTTCGACACAGCGATGTTTGAATATACATTGGATTCTCTATTTGAATTATTTCAGTAGTGAACGTGAAATAATAATATAACACGTTCCTTAATTATCTCGAATTTTATATATATTTTGGAGATTACTCCTTAAGGTGTTTTGATCTTGTCATGAGTGTAAGTGAACATTTGGCATCTACAATTTGGTATCTACAATGTTGGTACATATAAACTCATAGAATCTCAATGCAAGATCTGGTGCAAGTACATTATATTTAAAATGGCACATAAAGATTTTGCCAAACTTGGCTCCTGAACTGCGAAAAGTGATTATTTATATATATTCGACAAATTATACATGGACATCTTACGATGAGGGCCTTAAATACGTGTTATAACGAATGACTTTATAACTAAAGTAAGGAGTTGCAACATAGCGAGACTAATATTTAGCTGGGGAATTAACTTATGTCATAAAACGCTCAAAATACACTTGCAGATTTTGTATGTTCGTCTGAGTATAGGCAGTAACTGCCCAGCAACTCTCTTTATTGGTAGAGGCTCATTACCACACGATTGGTCGCACTGCGATATGTGATGATAAGATCAGCTCCAACATATAACATACACACCTACGGAACTCGGTGTTTAGAGAGTAACGCCATTTCACTCCGACCCTGTTTAGGTGAACCTGCAATAACGGTATGTGCAGAAAAAGTATGTTTACCTCATTGTGGAGTGTTTACTCTACTGTCTTCGCCTGCAGCAGCGGACCTCTCGACGAGAACTTGTTCACCAGGCACAATGATATTATTTGGGGTGTTAATGCTTCATCATCGCATTAAAAACAGCTCCATAACCTCGGCCTGTGATATATTTATCGGTTTCGGATTTGCTCGAAAAAAATAGTAGATTGTAGACAGCATCCATGGACCGAATTTAATACCATATGGAACGACGTGACAGGGTGATCTATAGTGAGATGACTGATGATCTGTCTGAAGAAGATACAATCAGACTGATAGACAGGCATACAGATAGACGGCAGACAGATGGTCGAATTTCAGGAAGTGTGTAGAGTAGTGAGAACTCACCGAAGCTTTTTTTAAGCTTAGATGCAAGCAGATAACATGTTAGCCTTGCTCCTAGTCTGTCTCACAGTCCCTGAACCGCATTATTTTACCTACTGCCTAGCCCTCCCTGCAATGCTAAAGCCCTAAATGAAGCAATTCTAGATCTCCCTAGGTTCTGAATCTCTTATTCCACTGGAGCTCCTTTTCAATTTAGATGGGATTATTTGTTACTATCAAAAATATATATATCCAGAGACTAAGCGTTAGTCAACGTTTCTCCAAGCTTATATGAATGTAAAGCTATGGCTGGTTACAAAAAAAAAAGCATGTCTAGGTAAGTGAACTGCAGTATGCCAGCGTTGTATTAGGACAATATGTCATCATACAATCTGGGAAATGTGACGTAAACAAGCAATCATTTCCTAAGGGACTTATGCAAGTCTACTGACATGCAGGCTGTATGGTTTTATGCACCTCATCTGACATCACCAATCTTCCAGCAGAGGCAGGCGAGTCTGCACGCCTACAGCACGCTGACTGTTCCACCTTGTATGATAAGATGGCTGCAGGAGATGTGAATTCTGGAACGAAGGAATTTTATCACAACTGTACAATAAACTTCATAGGATTCTTTCACCAGCTTTGTGGAAGGTCATATGTCGCAGGGAGGTGTTTATGTAGACATTTAATGAAACTGTTTTCGATGTGGTGATAGCAGTTAAAGAATCTGGTTGAAGGTCGAACTGACTCATCTGCAACAGCGTCTCAGTACGCTCGGCACTGACTGTGAATGGGGACTTGAACAGGTAGTGGCCAGACATGGAACCCGAGACCATTGCCGTAGATCTGACGCAGATTAACCTTTATAGTGGGACTGAATTTCAATGGAATGTATTTGGACTTGCATTGAGGGTTTATCTGAGTGCACGTGTTTCCAAAGCTTCCCAGTAGGACAGATTTAGAGTGGCGGGCTGATATTTACTGCAGTCATGTTCAAGGTCGAATTCCAGGGAACAGTATGCAGGTTTTTTGCCTGGAAATGAAAGCACGTAATCGTGTACTGGCCCACTGCCTCGTGTGTAAAACGTACAGGCTGATGTTTTAATTATTGTTTAAATTATTCCGAAGTCTACAGTCACAGAGTGTATTAAGGAACAGTGGGGATAAGGCAAATGGCACCTTGTACCTGACAAAAGCGTAACCGATGTTTTGTACTCGCTACTGATGTTAGTGAGTGAGTTGGGTTTAACGCCGCTTTGAGCAGTATTCCTGTCATAGCAAGGCATGTCAGCCTGATGTCGGGGTCCACACTGACAGAGGTCGAACATATTTGCAGTTTCGTTGATTACAGACAAATGATTCTCACCATGGCCCGTTCCACAAAGCGATCTTAACGCTTCGATGATCATAATCCTATAATTACGTATGGGAGTTACGATCACCTCAGCGCTTTGCGGAACGGTGTCCTTCCGTTCAGAAATAATGAAATGCAGATCCTGAAACGAATAAGAGAAGCAACTCTTTACAACAATTTGTGATATTTTAGACAACTGGGTATTCCGTGCCGTCTTTAAGCTTTGAAGGTTATCTACTTCTGGTGTTCAGAAATATATATGTCAAAATTGATGCACAAAATTTTAAAAATAATTATATTTACAAAATCACCACCTGCCCAGGACCCATCGCCTGTAAGCCTTTGTAAAAGATTTTATCATTTGCAACGAACGAGTTAAGTAAATATGAACTTTTGATCCTGTGCTTGGTGCCATGTGTTGAATTACCCAAATGGCAGGGGCTTAGGCCAGGTCGTCTTTGTTCTGTGTGTATCAGTCTTTAGAACATTCTCACCCCCACGATAAGATTCACGTGTCGCGGACATTCCTGAGGGTTCGGAATAACTAGTTCGACATTCCCTGACTTCCGGCTGTCTGTAGCACACAGTGTCAGTACCAACTCGTTGGCATTATCAGGTGTAGATCAATCTATACTGATAGGAATGTTGTCCTTACACAACAGAATATGAAGACTAACATCTAGTCTCTGAAATGTACATATTTTACAGGAAAACACCGTTCATAAGAAATAATCCTAAAATATAATGAAAAGGAGCCCAGAGACTGTCTTAATTTTCAGTCTGAAACTGTGGAAATCTAGACTTGCCACATATTCTAGACTTGCATGGGCTTTCTTGGATATATTTGTTTCGGGGTCTGTATGGCTGGATTTAAAATATGTTATTGATATAAATACAGATGGTCACATTACTCACTAATTCCCAATACTAATTGATATAGACAGAAGGTATGTAAAAGAAAGTAGTCCGAGTTACCATTATTGATACTGAAAAGTTAATGAGTTGGTGTTAAATTCGATTAGGTCCATTTAACCATCACCCATTCCTATTTAAGAAAACGTAATCTGGTTAAAGTTGTGTAATAATAACTTTATTCAATGAAGACGGGGAACAGTGAATCGGCATCAACATTACTGCCTTGTTTGAAATGTAAATATATTAATATGAACAGATAATATTCCTGGGATAACCTTTAGCAGCTGTGTTGTTTAGATGTGTTAGTGGAGAGACACAAGTATTCTCATTTGCAGGTATGATTGTAGAGAGACACCAATAACACTTGTCTTCTCATTTGCAGGTATGCTTGTGGAGGGGGAGAAGCTGCTTCTGGGAGGATGCTGGCTCTACTTCACTAACGTTGAGTTCTATGACATGGAGTGCTCCAAGATGCTTAAAGAACCAATCGGAAGAGGGCGAATATGTCTGACCAATAAAAGGGTGTTGTTACTGTCGGCGGAGATATTCACGGGTGCGTTACGTTTAATTTGACGCAATTTGATCGAAGGTCTTCAGGTCTTTAGTTAGAAGTGTATAGATGGTATAGGTGTTCAGGTGATAGACAACGTCCAGTGAGTATACAGGTAAGATGTAATGAGCCAGCAACAGCTGGGGAACATAATACGTATATTCAATATTCTTGGGATGGAGAGGTCGGGGATGTTAGGAACAGAATATTTTTCTCTTCGATAAATGCGTTATTCTCTAAAATGGTCAAACAATGTTTGAGGTGACAAAATATCAGATAAATAATTAAATATATCAGTACAAAATGAGGCAAAGTGATCTGCCCCAAGATGTGACTTTACTCTGTATTGATTCACGTACTGGGGAATCTGACCATAGCTGCGTGGATACTATCAGGACCTTCTAGCATATCTTGCATTGAGGTGCACCATGTCGTATTATTGTAACGGCAAAGATCCCATTTTGAAGTAACGAATATAACGAATTAATGTGTATATATAATGTACATATGTTATACACTGTTTAATATCAGTTTAATATCAATATCAGACTATAGATTCCTGTGAGCAAGGCAGATCAAAGTTTTGAAATCCGCTCTGTCCAATTTCCAGATTCGTCATTAAATGATTTCGGCGACACCAGCAAGCCGACGGGGGGTTACAAGTTGCAAGTTACCAAGTCCAACAACATCTTCTACCAGAATCTTCCGCTGAACACTTTCCACAGTGCTGAGATGTCGGCCTCAGTTGGTACCACAACGCAGTCCAAGATCAGCATCCTCAACCCCATCTGCTGGGGAGCGTGCTCGTGCTTCGGGGTACGTATAATCTGAAGACAATGTAGCCTCGTTAATCCATACAACTAAGTCCGGGAAAATGGTGTCTTTTATGTTAACTGTTGACTTGCCTTTGCGTGTGTTTGTGATGAGTGCTAACGGTCGAGGTACTATTAAAACCTGATGTCACCCCAATTTGGTAGTGGTTCAAACACGTTCTAATGATGTAGTTTTTGGTGAAAGCAAAGCATTATATGACAGCTAGATCTCGGTGGTCTGTCAATTAACATGAGACCAGTGAGATGAGAGATATAGAACCTTCATCTGAACCCGAAGAAAATTGAAAACCTTTTTCCAGTTAAGGCTGTAACATTGGGGTAAAAATGTAGGCAGAAGGGAAAATAATATGGCTCAGTGACTGTGAGATAGTCTAGCCTTCGGTACCACACTATCAGATGAGTCGCAAGGCCTGCCCGCCTGATCCCCATTTAAGTTAGCTAATCCGACTAATTCGAGGTGCCGTCGGCCAATTCTGACGAGGAATACGAACGCGTTTATTGTTTGTCCGGAACAAATCAGATCAAGCAATAGCTACACATCCTATCTCATGAATATCCCTGATGTCGTCCAACTCTGTGTACGACAGGGTTCACAACTTGTTCCTTCTCTTTTCAGGTTGGCCGCTGCTCGCGGTCGTGGAAAACCACTCCGCCCATGACGAAGACGTTCAACAGGCGAGTGGTGAAGATGGGAGTAGCAATGCCCCCGTGGGGGACGAAAATGTTTGTTAATGTCTATCTGGACCCGGAAATGTCTCTAACCACTGCACGTGACTTTGTGGCGCAGCTTCAGTACCACGCCCCCCACTTACAGTGATAGCAGCGGTTCAGGCTGACCAAGGGTCAGCGGTCACACTTGTGAGAAGAAGGCATCAAGGAACTTTGATGGAGAAACAAAAATGTGCATGTTTACCTCCGAAATTCATATTGGAAAATACCTGTTACCATTAGCTTCTTAGAGAAATTGTTTTATTTCTCATGGATTTTCTCTGGAAAGCCAGTCGTTTTCTTAACTGGTCTCTGCACACGTTGAAGACGGATTAGCATGGATTAGACTGACTGATCAAAGATGTTTTTCCTCATGTTTTCGAGATGTAGAAAAATGTGTCGCCATTTTGTTTTGAGGAAAACACTTTGGAATTGCTGAACACACAAGAACTGCAGAGACAGTGATGGTATTTTAATGGATGTATATGGGAAGTCTATATCGCTGGATAAACCACGGCTGGAGACACTAGCGGTTCTCACAAACAGGTGTATTCATTTCTTCACTGAGTTCATCTCTCGGACGATGTGCATATTATATCGTTGAGTTCAACTTTGAGGTCGTGACTCGTTAGTGATTAGAGTTGACTCTCACGAATGGTGCTGACATTTGATAGTGCAATGAAGGATCTAATATATATTCAGTTTCTATTACACAAGCTTGAAGCTGTCATACGTCCATGCAAGCGTGCCATTTAACTTCTGCCTTATATACAGAACTTGGTGCAATAACGGGGGACGGGGTTTGACTACTGAAACCCTAAGGTTTCTTTTCCATGTAGAAGACGAGGATATGTGTTCATAGAGACCACAACCTGTAGAAGGTGCGTCCAGAAAGGAAACACTATTAAAACACTCATACTCAAAACTGTATTTCCAGAATATGGAAGATGGAGATGGTTGTCTTCCATTTTTCGATTTCAAAAGCTTATAGATACTGAATCAAAACTTATCGACAAGATACCAGAATTACAGGGTGATACGAACGACATTGTCAAGATGTATTGAAATGATAAGTAGAAGGTGTTTTATTCTTTCAAAGTGAATAACGTTAAGATATATGTATCTTTTGCCCTCGCATCTACCCACGTATTTGTCCACGCGCGTCCACCGCGTCAATTCCGCGTCCATCTTCTGTCAGCCACGCGTCTTTCCTGCGTCTGTTCCTGATATTATTACACATGATCACTTGAGTGGCGCCATAAGGTTTTATGACCAAGTGACCTTGATTTCCATTTTGTGTAATACTTCGGGAAGAAACAGGGAAGAATGCTTCAGCGAGTTTGCAAACACATTTACCCAATAAACAAAGGTCATTTATGAGCCTCTTGCAAACCTCCAATAGTCAATGCCTATCTCAATATGTATCTCTCTGTATCGTTAATTTCTAGATATGTATCACTGAGAGATGTAATCCTCTACAGCCATCTCTGTAATTATGATTCCTGCCTAGGTATGTTTCTAATTAAACATGTATATCAGTACCAGCCAGTTACGTTGTTAATGTTTAAGAGACCTCCAACTGGGTAACTGGCTCCTCTGTCTTGCGACGTGGAGTCGGCAATCATGCATGAGTGTTCTGGGTGAGTGAGTGAGTTTGGTTTTACGCCTCTTATATTGTTATCGTTCCTTACTGCCCCAACTTCTAAATGCCTCTCAAAGAAGTTTACGCCTCTTTTAGCAATATTTCAACAGTATCACGACGGGGGACACCAGATAAGAGCTTCACACATTGTACCCATGTGGGGAATCGAACACGTCTCTTCGGTGTGACAAGCGGACGTTTTTGCCATTAGGCTACCTCACCGCCCCTGCATGGGTATTATGAATGGAAACTGTAAAACAATCTAGATATATTCTTCCGACAGTAGAGCGGTTGTTTCGGATATAGTGTTTAAATTGTTCCATAAACTCCAGTGTTGGACACCCTGAAGTGAGTGAGTTGGGTTTTAAGCCGCTTTTAGCAATATTCCAGCAATGCCACGGTGGACACCAGAATGGGTTTCACACATTGTACCCATGTGGGGAATCGAACCCGGGTCTTCGTTTTAACCACTAGGCTGCCCCACATTGCATGACTGAGTGAATGTTGGTTTCGCCACAGTCAGAAATATTGCAGCTGCATCACACCTGTCTGTAAATGATTTACTCTGGACCACTCAAACCAGTGTATGCATCGCTTCAAACAGCCGGGATACTATTGTAGACACAGTGAGTGAGTGAGTGAGCTTAGTTTTACGCCGCACTCAGCAATATTCCAGCTATATGGTGGCGGTCTGTAAATAATCGAGTCTGGACCAGATAATCCAGTGATCAGCAGCATGAACATCGATCTGCGCAATTGGGAACCGATGACATGTGTCAACCAAGTCAGCGAGCCTGACCACCCGATCCCGTTAGTCGCCTCTTACGACAAGCATGGGTTACTGAAGATCAATATTCTAACCCGGACCTTCACGGGTTTGTAGACACAGAGACTTATCGTATTTTGACATTAAACGATCCTGAATTCAGTCAACTCTTGCAATCAAGAGGAAGGAAGGAGGCTGTTGTGTGACCCGGCGTCACCATGGAGACGGAATGGGGACATTGGGGCCAAGTTCGGGTCCAAGGTCGCGTTTTGTCATCAAAATACACCAGGGAAGTGTGTAGGGGGTGGATGAGAGAGGAATACAGACCTGCTGGGTATTTTCAGAGATTTAACGAGCGCTTCCAGCGTGTTGTGTTTCACGTTGACAGTTCTGGTGATGACAGCGAAACGCGAAACGCCACTTGATTCATGCGACTCAACTATCGTCGTATGGGTTCTGGAACATGTCATGTCAACCAATGGATGATAGTGGGAGCACTAACATCAAGGTTCGATTGGACACAAGTGACACCTTAGTGGTCTTTGTTGATTATATGCAAATAATCGTGTCTCCCTTCGCCCATCCATTTGGGATACATAAATTGTGATGTAACATTAACGTAAAGTTTCACTTCGGATCTGTTTTCATGTGGCACTCAACTGTCGCCTAACCAGCCATCGCATTCGTGACCAACTCGTGTTATTCCGGGACAAGCCGAATAGCGATCTTCTTGGAGGTTACGGAAAGGGGCGAGTGGTGACGAATGCAGCCATCGTCCACATTGGGGAAATATTGAGTTTTCAATAAACTATTGAAGCATTAATGAAAACTCTGATACGTGTATTGTCAGTTTCAAACTGAATATCAAGTTTGACCAAAGATGTTTGTTGTTTTGTTTTTGTTTGGCTTCCTTTGGGGTTTATGTTTTACATAAAACAACAAAGAGGTACGGGAATGATGTTTCCTTGTCATAGAGACTATATATTGCTTGTAGCTGCATTAAACAAACAACACAAAAGTGTAGGTGTTTTACATTCAAAAGCCCCTCTGTAAAGAGTTTGGATGTTTCGGAGCCATTTACCCATACAGTTTAATCTGATGTTGATGTTTAACTGAAAATCCGATTTGAAACCCAGCAAGCATAACGGTTCAGAGACTTGGGCATGTAGTCAACTCAAGATATGCGTTTTAGTGTTCTCAGTAACGTAACAAGCCAAATACCTCCAGACATATTGGCAGAGAACCAGCTGACACAGTGAGAGAGTCACACTCGGTTAGAAACTGGTCTATAGCATGAAGCTCGCTAGGTACTTCTCGCTCGGTACTTCTCCAACTAACATACACAGGAAACACTTATATATTGGTGATATTTTTGCTGTTCGCGTGGTTTCTATTTATCATTTTCGACAGAATCACCGAGCTTGGCAACCCGATCAAGTCCAGTTTCTGGACGACCAAATTCTAACCTGGTTTCATGGGAACGCCATATTGATATTTGACAACAGTACCTGAAGATCTTATTACTTTTTTTATCAGTCTTTCTTATTCTGTCAATAATATTATGACTGTTAATTTAATTACCGTCATGTTTCAGCAATTATGTTTTGATATTTCCAAGATAAGAAACCGCAACTTTTCTGTATACCTTGGATATTAACTACACAGAAAGGATCACGGACTGTCATCAACACCTCTCTGCGTGAAAGGTGCCTCAAGATGTCGGGGGTAAATCTTGATCTAGTTTTATGAAAAATAACTAATGTTAATCTCAAATCATGAAATAGACACACTGAAAGGCATCCTTTCAAACGTTGATTTCGTATCTCTTTCAAGTCCCACTGCAGGTAAATCAAACTTAAATGAACTGTTTTTGAAAATAAACTGGCCAAACCAGTTGAATAACGTTCTTAAACATTTTACAAAACATTCGAGCAGACAGAACCTTTGTAACCAAATTAAGAAACAGAGAAATATTTTTCCGCAAAATATATGTCGATGTCGTTGCTTCCATAAATAAAACCAAGAACCAGCCAAACAGTGAAAAAGACGTGGAAACTGAAAATGAGACGCCACAAAGACTCGAAGAGTTATCTCCCTTTTCTAGCTGAGGTGGGAGTTGGGTTACGACGCTCTGGGGATGAATATTTCAGTAATTTATTAGTTGTGTCAGCTCATTGTTGGATAAAGACCAAATGGCGCCAAGAGGAAATATAAAAGTACTTCGAAAACATTAGAGCTCAAGCAAAACGTAGGTGTTGCCGTTCTAAATGGATAAAAATCTATTTCATTATCTTTGGGTCTTACTTTAAGAGAACATGCTCAACTTGCTGTATGTTAAACAGAATTATGATTGCAGTTTCAGTTTTCATTCTTCCTTACAGAAAGTTGTTTCTTCAGGAAAGACAGTGAGTATGTACATTTGAATACCTAACCGAATGTGTGTGAGCGTGCATGTGTGTGAATGTGAGCATTCTTGCGTCTACATATATATATATAAAGCAAATAACAGTAAAATCTTGATGTCATCTTCTGGTTTCCGAGGTTTCCAATGATCCTTGTTGCAGTGTGCAAATTAGTTTCCACATTTTGCTAGTCTGTCGGTATAGCTATGTCTGAAAGTTCCTAGCCCACAAAATAATTCACTAGCTAGAAATTTGAATGTTGACATGGGTTTCATCATTAAGCTGCTAATACGATGAACATTTTTATCAGGCCATAATCTTGCATGATTTAAAAGTGTATTATAACTAAACAAGTCGGAGAGAGTGATATATTCACAAAATGACCCATGAAAATTCACTAGCCAGTGACTGTGGAGATTTACTGGCCCTACTGGATTTTTACTAGCCACGACCTAGCAGGCCACTGGCTATTTCGTACACTGCCTTGTTGCCAGGGATGTCTCAGGACTGAAACATGCCGACCACCCTCCCCATGCTAACTCATGGGTAGTTACTCATTCTATCAACCACTGGTTTGCCACGCCCATATAGGCTACAGGTTGCTATGACACAGATGCTGACTTCAGCACAAAGCAGCATTCTTTCACCCACAAAACAAGCCAAGACATCAAACCAGGTTATATAACAACAGTTCAACTCCGAGGATAAACAACAGATAAAGGGATCTGTTTGTCCAGGAATTTATTTTCCATCAATATTCCCAATTCATGCATCCAATCACCAACCATCTCTTGCTCTAGTCAAAGCATGCCACTCAACTCTGCTCAATCAACAAACGTATAGTACACAAATTATCACATACACAATACAAAAGTGTGAAATACAAAATAACAAATGTTAACAAGTGATGGCCAGCTGTTTTGCACGTTCCTAACACAAAATGGTTAAACAAAACACTGCAAAATACGCATAAACATGGCAAATGTTCTCCAAGATCGATTGTCGGAAATCACCCTATCCAAACAAAGCCAAGATGAAATGGTTAACCGCTTCTGAAGGAATTCAGGATTGTCAGATAAACTGTTTCACTGATGATGCTCATGAAATAAGATCAACATGAAAATCAACAATGGTATGGCTGAATTATTTGTCAAAACATGGATACATCAAATTTGACACTAAAATGAAACAGGTTCATCTGTGATAAATTACATTGATGTTACAGATAAATTATTCTCTGTGAAGCATGCCTGGATTTCTCACACACAAAAAAAACACACATTAAAATGCATGTTTCATAGTTTGATAGAAAAAAATTAACAGTTTCAAACTTGGCCAAAATCTCAGCAATGCGGCAGATGTCTGTCTTATAAGTTCAACTTCAGTGAAAAATATTACACCCTATAAAAACCCTGTGATGAATGAAATTTGATGAATGCACCAAAACATGATGTAAAAACTAACATAAACAATTACACGTCACCAGCAGAGCCTCAGGTTGCTGCAGGTGGGGCGGGCGAGGTGGGGTGAGGTTGAGACCAGGCAGGGTGGTAATGCACCTCTTCCACACTTTCCTTGTTAACTGCAACCTCAGCCAAGTCACTGTAGGTCCACCCTTCAACACCCTTGTTCCACCACAGTACTCTAGTATTATACAAACTAGGCTTCTATCATCTAATGATTTGGTGACCTTTCACAGTGACAGCATGTCCAGAGTGACTTTACAAGTGAGGACACTCTGAAAATCTCCCACCTAAATATGTAGGAATTATATATGAGTGGAGCTGCAAGAACCATATCTCTGCTCTCTATAATATAAACAAACAATCTGATGTTGGCCTGTTGCTATTGTGTTGTGGGCTGTTCCATAGAGATCTCTCTCAAGATTCCCGATTCAGAACATGCTGCACTAACAACCCTGCCATGTAGTTCAGCAACTGTAATCCAATTGTATATCAACTCAACATAGTCCTCTTTCTAAAACATCTGCCTTCGATGTATATACTTATATTTTTTATCATGCCACTTTCTATGTTCTTATCAAGAGGGTGCAGATTTTTGGCTGAGCACAATAGCAGATAAAACATCTGGACCATTCTTGTTTCCAACTTATAGACATTCTCTTCCCAGAGGTTACTCCTGTCATAAGTAACCTCTGATCTAATACGGCCCTTTCGTGGTGCGAGTGTTCTGGAATCGTGATTGGTTGCAATCAGATTTAGTTGTGCAATCAGCGACGTTGTTTCAAAAGTGATCATTCGCAAAGCTTTGGTAATTTCCGTATGCTTCGGGAAAACTAGAACCTCTTCTCCAGCACGACGCAGACAGAACCCAGTCATGTAATCCCAGGCGTCTCCATTGCCCTCGTTGACAACGGACATGCTAGCCATTAAATGTCGTGTGTCACATCAACAAAAACATCTTGTTGATGATTCCTGCACTCTCTATTGCGCTAGTTTCTGCTTTTCAGTTAAACATGAAATACCGAATCTATCCTTTGCATATTGATCAACTAACTCCATGGCGGCCGCCATATTGGATCTAAGTCGATGTAACACGTGATCAGATTGGATAGAAAGAAGGGAGACAATTCGTGTCGCGATTTTTTGCCGCTAGGGGATTTTACGAGAACCAGGAAATATGGCCATATTAGTACAGAGGTTTGTAGGAATATATGACAGGAGTAAACTCTGTGGGAAGAGAATGTCTTATAGAGTAAAAATATTATTACATGATCCAAAATATACGTACGAGTGTTTAAAGTGTCTTTTAAAATGAACCTTGTTGCATATGTCAGTAGATGATAACAGATGCACAATGCTCAAGCATCTAAACTGGACACAAGCCAACATTATGGATCTGTAAGAACAACACTGGTACAGTCTGTAGGCAGTGTAGCCCCTTGTAGCAACACGTCAAGGTCAAGGACCACCACAGAGATATGGCTACCGCAGCTATGTGAGCGTTGGGTGACAAATAACGTAACTGTCTTGGGACAGGGGACACACTGAATGAACAATACTTCATATTTGTAATGGAATGATAGTACTTCAGAAAACTGATTATCTAAGCTAAATCATAATCAATGAAAACATCATAGAATATTCATGAATGGTTCATAGCAAAAACAAAGCACATCTTACAAGAATTATTCAAAAATAAGATTGAATGTTTCATTTAACTTTGATACTTAAACCACAGTAAGAAAATTCTGTTTATATATTTTAGAAACTTCTCATAGAATATATAGTATTCAATGAATCCTTCAGAAAATATATTTTCATTAAAATACTAGTAATCATTTTCTTAAAAATGTACCTAATATTAGGTTTCTATCTCATCAAAATAGTTTTTCAAAACTCCTTTAGAATACTGATTTATGAGGAGAATAATGCATAATAATTTTTTCATCACCATAACAATTCATTGCAAGCATGTGTAAACGTCTTCTCACAAACATTGTGGTCATGCACCAGTTAGTGAGCATATGTGGAAAATGAACTATCACACTCTTGGAAGTGGTACTTTAAAAATACAAAATGTCATATTTAGTTCATATTGCCCTAATTTCAGAAGCTATTACATCAACAATAAAAAAACACAATCCTATCCAGGAGAGCTTGGTTAGATTATACAAAAATAAATCACATACTATATGCTAGTAATTACAAAAGGAAACCATTTATGTACATTCACTTGAATTAGTTCTGTAAAACCATTATGATGCTTGTTTCCCAAAAGCTATAAAAGAATTCCCCAAATCTGTAACAACTTCAGTGTTACGATATATGTATTGCTACAATGAAAGTAGTGGAGATCTTTAATCGACATCAAGGTCGTAAATCACAGAGTTACTGAAGCTGAAGGCACATTGTGTCTTGTGGTCATTCGGATCCAAGCCACTGTCATGCTCTTCCCAGCTGAGAACTGTCTCAATCTTGCTGTCCCCTGGATTGCTGGAGTTGTCTCCCTTGTTACATTCTTCCACATCCTGTATCAATGGAGCCTTGATCTTCTGTGATTCGTTGCACTTTCCTGACTCAATATCACTGTCCTCCTCTGCTTGTATTTTTATAACAGAGGAATCCTGAGCTTCAGCTACTTTTCTGAGATCCCCAGCATCAGAAGTGCTGCTGGCCCGAGACAATATCACCCTCCTCATCTTCCTTGAAGCTTTTCCGTGTAGCATCTCTCACATCCTTACCAGCTGCCTGATTCTCATTCTTCTCACACACATCATTCACACAAGGAGCAGCCTTGATGCAAGTCCTCTCAACATCATCATCATTTCCATCATCATCACTATCAGCTGCCTGGGAAATATCACATGCTGCCACATTGGTCTTGATCGCCTCCACCATTTTCTTCTTCTTCTCACACACACTCATCTCACTGCCAACACTACTGGCACTAGTCCTAAAATCTTTGTTATCTTTTTCAGCCTTCACACTTCCCTCTCCAGCTCCTTTAGCATCAACTTTTCTTCCCTTCTTTCCTTCCACCTTCTCGCCTTCCTCCTCCTCTGCAATCTGCTCAAAGTGATCATCTTCCTCCTTGTCCTCAGCAGGGGAGTGAGAGTCATGACTCAGCTCCTCCCCACTGCTTCCCTCTGAACCACTGTTCTTGCGTCTTCTTCCATTAGCCTTCTTCTCCTCCTTCTTCCTGGCACGTCTTCGTTTACTCTTCAGAGCAGTCTTCATGCTGGTTGGGGCGGTGTTCTTCTTGTATGTGGCACTGTCAATGTGACTGTTGAAGGTGACACATTTCTTACTGCAGCCTTCGAGTGGACTGTCCTCTGGCCCAGATCGAGGAGACTCTCCTCCACTACGAGCATCCCCACTGCTGCGAGACTCTCCCCCACTGCAAAGATGATCATCACTGGACTCCGATAAAGTCCTCTGTTTCAGAATGCTGTGTAGTTTGGGAAGTGCTTTCTTGTGGACCACTTCAATATCTGCTGAAGATGGTGTGTCATATTCATTGTCTTCTTCATCTTGAAGTGGAGCCTGCAAAACAGAGATGATTCTATGCAATCTCCATTGTACATGAATGTATATTCCTAATTTATGCCACAATGCAGTTACATTAAGACAACGTGAAGAGACAGGTTTTGGTAGTGGAAAACAACTGCTTTTTAAGAAAGTTTCAAAGACACTGCTAGTTTCTTATCTTCTCATTTCGACATCATCCTGTTAATGCAACATAAAATTTTGACAATCACATCAATAACTTGAACACCCTCATAATACTGTATCCAAACCAAACTTCCACTTGGCACCACAAAGGCTAATGTCAGTGAGGACTACCATCATTGGATATTTAACTTGTCCACAACAAGGAAGTAAAATGTTTTTACTGCAGCAAGTAACACCTACCCTGATGTTAATGGCAAGTTTTTTATCCTTCATTTCGGTCACTTGAAGGTATGGACTTTGTCCGGGATGTTTCTTGGCTAGTTCTAGTTCCTCAGCCTCTTCGTCTAGCTCTGACAGCTGTCTCTGTAGACTCACATCCGTCAGCAGCAGCTTCTCCTGCAACAAGACAAGGATTGTCATATGGGATACTTCATACAGAATAGTATACAGAGCATCGGGAATACTGTCATGCTGGATAGTACACAGTCCATCAGGAGAACTGTCATAGTGGATAGTATACAGAGCATCCAGAATACAATCATGTTGGATTGTACAGAGTCTATCAAGAGAACCACATCATGCAACATAATGCATCAAGAGAACCGTCACATCTGATACCACATAACATTTCAAGAGAACTGTCACATCCGATACCACATAACACATCAAGAGAACTGTCATATCCAATACCCAATAACATATTAAGAGAACTGTCACATCCGATACCACATAACATATCAAGAGAACTGTCATATCCAATACCACATAACATATTAAGAGAACTGTCATATCCAATACCACATAACATATCAAGAGAACTGTCATATCCAATACCAACATAACATATTAAGAGATTTGTCATATCCGATACCACATAACATATCAAGAGAACTGTCATATCCGATACCACATAACTGTCATATATCGAATCATACCACATAACATATATCAAGAGAACTGTCATATCCGATACCACATAACATATCAATGAGAGAACTGTCAATCTGATACCACATAACATATTAAGAGAGAACCACTGCATAACATATCATCAAGAGAACTGTCATATCCGATACCACATAACATATCAAGAGAACTGTCATATCCGATACCACATAACATATCAAGAGAACTGTCATATCTGATACCACATAACATAACATATCAAGAGAACTGTCATATCTGATACCATCAGAACATATAACATATCAAAGAGAACTGTCATATCCGATACCACATAACATATCAAGAGAACTGTCACATCCGATACCACATAACATATCAAGAGAACTGTCACATCCGATACCACATAACATATCAAGAGAACTGTCATATCCGATACCACATAACATATCAAGAGAACTGTCACATCCGATACCACATAACATATCAAGAGAACTGTCATATCTGATAAAACATGATGCATCAAGAGAACTGTCACATCTGATACCAAATAATGCATCAAGAGAACTGTCATATCTGATACCAAATAATGCATCAAGAGAACTGTCATATCTGATACCAAATAATGCATCAAGAGAACTGTCATATCTGATACCAAATAATGCATATCAAGAGAACTGTCATATCTGATACCAAATAATGCATCAAGAGAACTGTCATATCTGATACCACATAAATCAGAACTGTCATTAACCACATCAAGAGAACTGACATATCAAGAGAACTGTCATATCTGATAAAACATGATGCATCAAGAGAACTGTCACATCTGATACCAAATAACATATTAAGAGAACTGTCATATCCAATACCACATAACATTTCAAGAGAACTGTAACATCCGATACCACATAACATATCAAGAGAACTGTCATATCTGATACCACATGATGCATCAAGAGAACTGTCACATCTGATACCAAATAATGCATCAAGAGAACTGTCACATCTGATACCAAATAATGCATCAAGAGAACTGCATCAAAAGAACTGTTCACATCTGATACCAAATAATGCATCAAAGAGAACTGTCACATCTGATACCAAATAATGCATCAAGAACTGAACTGATACCATATCAAGAGAACTGTCATCTGATACCAAATAATGCATCAAGAGAACTGTCATGCATCTGATGATACCAATAACATATCAAGAGAACTGTCATATCTGATACCAAATAATGCATCAAAGAGAACTGTCACATCTGATACCAAATAACATATAAGAGAACTGTCATATCCAATACCCAAATAATGCATCAAGAGAACTGTCATATCTGATACCAAATAATGCATCAAGAGAACTGTCATATCTGATAAAACATGATGCATCAAGAGAACTGTCACATCCGATACCAAATAATGCATCAAGAGAACTGTCACATCTGATACCAAATAATGCATCAAGAGAACTGTCACATCTGATACCAAGTAATGCATCAAGAGAACTGTCACATCTGATACCAAATAATGCATCAAGAAAACTGTCACATCTAATACCAAATAATGCATCAAGAGAACTGTCACATCTGATACCAAATAATGCATCAAAAGAACTGTCATATCTGATACCAAATAATGCATCAAAAGAACTGTCATATCTGATACCATATAATGCATCAAAAGAACTGTCATATCTGATACCAAGTAATGCATCAAGAGAACTGTCACATCTGATACCAAATAATGCATCAAAAGAACTGTCGTATCTGATACCAAGTAATGCATCAAGAGAACTGTCACATCTGATACCAAATAATGCATCAAGAAAACTGTCACATTTGATACCAAATAATGCATCAAGAGAACTGTTACATCTGATACCAAATAATGCATCAAAAGAACTGTCATATCTGATACCAAATAATGCATCAAAAGAACTGTCATATCTGATACCAAATAATGCATCAAAAGAACTGTCATATCTGATACCAAATAATGCATCAAGAGAACTGTCACATCTGATACCAAATAATGCATCAAAAGAACTGTCGTATCTGATACCAAGTAATGCATCAAGAGAACTGTCACATCTGATACCAAATAATGCATCAAGAAAGATACCAAATAACTGTCACATTTGATACCAAATAATGCATCAAGAGAACTGTCACATCTGATACCAAATAATGCATCAAAAGAACTGTCATATCTGATACCAAATAATGCATCAAAAGAACTGTCATATCCGATACCACATCATGTAGGGATTTACGGGACGTGAATTCCTGCGTCCTATACACATAAAAATTGACAATGGAAACAACAAAAGTTATTAGCGCATGCACAGTGACGCAGAAAACATCCAAATACTTTTTGTAAAAATTCTGATTTGCTGCAAGCCAGGCTATGGTATCATTTGTAATTTAATTACTGTAACAATGTGATGATCATGATACACAATACAATAACAGTAACTGAATTACAACAATTGTTTATAGTATTAATAATAATATTTAGCGTCTAGGACCCCCATTTTGTAGTCCAGGACCCCTGAAAATTAAGAATATGAGTCCCAGGGACCCTCAAATACAGGAGTCAAGGTAAATCCCTGCATTATGCATCAAGAGAACTGTCATCCCAGATACCAAATAATGCATCAAGAGAACTGTCATATCCGATACCAAATAACGCAGCAAGAAAACTGTCATATTATAGGAAACTACATATCACTGGCAGAAAACGAACCTTACTCTATAAAGAGCACAATCTTACAGTCATCCATTCCTGCCTACCCAAACCCTTCTCTCAAACATACTTCACTTTTCATCGTCGTCCTTCTTTCACCTTCTAAGCATGACCAAGGTAACAAAGAGAAACCAGAACATAAGAAATGTGACCTCAATATCCAAATGGCTTTCTGACAAGAATGCATATATGGAAAGTAGTGATATCAGGGCTGCCATCAAGGACACTGAGAACCTTCCTTCCTATCTATCATGTTTACAGTATATCATGTTTTGGTGAATACATGCACATCCGCCTTACTTCCACATCATGCTTGCTCCATCGCCTACCTCATTCACCCTACATAAGTTAATTACTGTAAGCACGGATCATGTACTAAGTCTGCAGCTTAATAACCTATAAAGCCATAGACAGGCAACGCCCTACAGACAGGCTGCACAGTGTGGAAGTCTGACATGCAGTCTCCCGAGATCACAGAGGATGTGATAACCATCAACAGTAAACATCATTACGTCATACACAAACATACTTACATTAAAAAAAGAAAAAAAAAGGTAGGTTTATTTATAACTTGTCCCAAAATGCTGTTCCCTTTCATACTTACATTTTCTTACATTTGTTGTATAATTCCAGATACAACATTGCCAAAGGAGGTTAACACAGCAAAACAATAACATCAATATTATCAAAATATTAACCAGGAACTGTTTTTAATTGATAAACATGAGAAACAAACTGTATACTTCATTTTACAACCCTCCACTTGAAACCATCATGATGTTTGTGACACGTCCCTGACCTGGCCACACCCCTTCATCCCAATACCCGTGAAGGTCCGGGTTAGAACATTGATCTTCAGTAACCCATGCTTGTTGTAAGAGGAGAATAACAGGATGGGTGGTCTGACTTGCTGACTTGGTTGACACATGTCATCGATTCCCAATTGCGCAGAACGATGCTCATGCTGTTCATCACTGGATTGTCTGGTCCAGACTCGATTATTTACAGACTGCCGCGATATTGCTGGAATATTGCTGAGTGCGGTGTAAAACTAAACTCACTCACTCATCCCAATATTATGACAAGTCTAATACTTCTAAATTATAACCTAATAATGTTAGTTCCGAAATCTAAGTTCATAAACACATCAAAATTAATGTCTCATTTCCTTATTCTGCTTAACATCGACACAACAAATCTGATGAAGATGTCATTAAACAGGTATCCTGGCAGTGGATGTGAATTTGCTCATTGGTATTGCCTGTATCAGCTTGTTCGTGTCAGCTTCAAGGCCATCTGTTAGCTAGGCTGGAGACACAAAAATCAATCAATTATGGGTGAGACTTGTCTCCGCATGAAAACCATGCCATAGCATGGAGTACCCCCAGATAACCCTGTCTATCACTGTTTGTGTGGACACTGAGCCTTGTCACTGCTGCACAAGTGCAAACACAACACAACACAACACAATAAATCTGGATGTTTTTACGGCAGCTGCATCATGCAATGTGCATTACTGAATATCAAATATCTCACTCTCAGAAATATGAGTGTCAATTCATTTATAAAGCAACTTATGTCAAATGAAATGACTAACTGAATTGAATTTTCACACATTTTTTCTGCATTAATTATAGAGTTACAGCAATTAAAATACGAAACTTTGTAATCTTGAAAATAGCATCAGTGATGGTTAATTTGTCTGCACTATCATTGAACATTGAAGACATTGAACAATTCAAA